CTTCTTGAAGTACTCTATCAATCTCTGGCACTTTGCTGGTCGCATGGTGCATCTGGGAGCATCGCCTTCAGATCCAAATTTGTTTTCCTTATAGAAACTCGGAGCTCGTCAAACTTGGCTCGCCAAACTTGGCTCACCGAGCGTGCAATGTTATCCTCTGCGAGCCTGTGGCGCGCTGTTGTTCCCATAGGAGGCGTTCTTCTTCCACGGTGAGTTCTTCGGTGTACCATTCGTCTTCATCATAGTCGGTTGCTGTTTGAGCAGTCTGCGGTTGTCGTGCGGTTGTCTGTCCAGATTCTCCTGCCGTAACAAAATCTTTTTTGAGATCATCATCTAGATCGACTACTTGCGCCTGTGCGTCTGCCATTGGTTCGCTCCTATTGATATCTCGTCCGCCGCTCTTTGAAGTTGGGTCGGTGTTCAGGTCGTGTGGTCGAAGCCGACGAACCTTTTGCGCTTCGGATAGTGTAGAGAAGTTTAGCGTCCTTGGGGCGATGTGATCCGCCGTGCGAGTGTTACACCTCTCACGTGGCTTCCCATAGCGAGGGAATCCATTCGGTTTGTCACCGTGCTGTTGAAGATATCTTGTTTCTTCGATTTTTTAAGGATTTCTTCAAACATGCCTTGTATCTGAGTCATCTGAGCCGAAGTTTCAGGATTTGCCTCTGCGGTGGGCTGTGTTTGTGTCTTGGTGGATTCGTTCATCGTTGTATCCTTCGTGGCGGATTCGTCCGCGGTGGGCTGTGTCTGTGGCTTGGTGGATCCATCCATCGTGGTGTCCTTCGTTGCGGATCCGTCCGCAGTGGGCTGTGTTTGTGTGTTAGTGGATCCATCCATCGTGGTGTCCTTCGTAGCAGATCCGTCCGCGTTGGGCTGTGTTTGTGTCTTAGTGGATTCGTCCATCGTGGTGTTCTTCATTGCGGATCCTTCCGCGGTGGGCTGTGTTTGTGTCTTAGTAGATCCGTCCGTCGTGGTGTCCTTTGTTGCGGATTCGTCCGCGGTGGTTTTTAGAGTAAAAAAGGCTTTCGTCCCCTTAGATGGCTCCAAATTAAGGGGGTCGAATCTCACGATTAGATTTGTTTTAGTAACTTTTTTAGGGTTGAAAACTTCTGCGGAAAACCACTAAAAACGAAGGATCTCAAGAGATGATTTTTATTAAGCTGTTAAGAAAACTGTTTCTGAATACAAGTGTTTTGTCTAATGAATTTCGGATCGTCTCCATGGAGGATGTTTACATGTCTTTATATCCCTCTTCACTCACCAACTCCCATCCACTCAGTGAGCCTTCTAGTATAGGTTGGCTAGAGTCAAAGCCTAAGACCTAAAAGGGAAGCTGTCTCTCCACTCACCAACTTCCATCCACTCAATGGACCTTCTAGTAACCTTCCACTCAGTGGCTCTCCACCCACTTAGTTTATTCTTTAGGCCTGTTGATTCTAATGGGTGGAATTTGACCCCAACAAATGTGTAAATTTCTTGTAAGATTTCTAATAAAGTGAAAATTCGGTGCGGCCGAGCTTTGAGCTATTGATCTTGTTGTGTTCATCCGCTTTTTTAGTTGTTCATTAGAAGATTGTAACTCTTTCCTAGCATTTACGAGTTTGGGGTATTTTAGCAAGAGAAATGTTTTGTTTCAGGTCTACATCTGACATATGCGTTTGATTTGTCAAATTTTTACCCAAATGACAGCGTGAGATCTAAGACCTATTTCCGTGAGATGTACATGGCTATTGTTAAGTCTAAATTGTTAGAGTTTGTTGTGTGTGTAACTCACCTTCAACGATATGTACAAAATGATAACTAAATACATATTAGATTGTACCATGTATTTATGTATTATTTTGTCCTATACAATAAAGATTCAAATGAACAGTTGTGTATATGTTGTATCTTGAACATATTTAATTTTTGACATAATCTCAACATAATTTTGGACCTAATAAATGGGCTACAGAGACTGATAGGTGCCGGTTGAAATATCGAAAATGAAACAGTGTCGGAAACAGTTCCTTTGGGGGAGTTATTGAACGAGACTTTTGCAGAATTATAAAATAATTGATTTTAAATGATTTTTTATGTCCAATTTTTCACTTTTCTGTTGCTAAAGCTTGTAATTTCTCTTATTTTCATGAAGATTAGAATATAGGGTTAATTAGGTGAATATTATGTTTTGAAATTGAAATTAGGTGAGTAAAAGCAAATTAGGTGAGTAGCATTAAGTTCTTACATTCTGACGAAATTATGTGATTAAAAACATTTGGTAAAAATATATTATTGTCTTGAACTGAAGTTTAATACAGTGGACTATTATAAGCGTATTCACTAACTTTATGGACTGCTCATAATAATCCACTATAATATATTATGTTTACGACTATAGTGCACTATAATATATTTTGCAATTATAATTTGTAATTATTTATTGTCCGATCGGCATAGTTCATTAGTTATAGTTCATTATATTGACTGCTTATAATATATATTGCAATAATAGTTAACTACAATAGTTATGTATTAGTTATAGTTCACTATATGTTTACAACCATAGAGCACTATAATAGTATAATATGTATAGACTGCTTATAATATATATTGCAATAATAGTTAAATACAATAGTTATTAATCATATACAAAACTCTATCATTTTCCTTTTCATCAGGCCATGACAAATCGTCTCCTTCTAGACTTTCGGCAGACAGCGTATATGCCACTTTTACCTGAAACAAAAACACATTTGAGTAAACACAATAATAGTTAACTATTACACGGCCGTAGTTAAATATAATAATAATCCTCAATTTCTTTAACATGGTTAACTATTACTCAACCGTAGTTGACTATGTATAGTAGATTGTTGTAATAGGACAAAGAAAATGTTACCGGTCGATCATTATCTAGCTTTTGAATTGATTTCATAATGATGCTTAGAGGCTTCTCAAATTCTTCATTGTCGTAGTTATCTTCAGAATCAACAATTCAAACCAATATGGAGATTGGTTTGGGCT